GTATGCAAAAGGGTGAGACTTTCTGGCCTGCTCTAACACAAAAACAACATCTTGGGGGTGGCGAAGTATTTTATGGGGAAAAGAATTACTTGTCTCAGGTTTAAAATGGCAAGTTTAGAATGGTGAAAGTAACCGGGTGCAGGATGAATGGATTCCGGATATGGCAAACCCTTTAACAGACATCTCCAGCTCTCAAGGCTTGAATTACTTAAGAGTTAAAGACCTCTGGGATTGCAATGGGGACTGGAATTAGCCATTGATCACAACCTTCTTCCCCTCAAATGCGGCAACCACGATACTGTCAATATACATTCCTAGAGACCACGCTGCCGGGGAAGACCGCAAAATGTGGTAAAAAAACAAACACAGGACAGTATACAGTTAAAAGCGGGTACCTGATAAGAGAAAAATATGACCACTTTTAGCAAGCGATTCTTATTCTTTTTTACTTATAAATTAGAGTCAGTTAAGTAGAATTAGTTTACTTTTGTGTTGATTTTACATTCCAGGGTGATCGCCAAAGTGGAATTTGATGGAATTATGAAGCCAAAAGGTGAAAAGGAACATAAAAAGGGACAAGAATTGATGCTGTTAGAAATTGAGGATGGAAATGATCGATTGAGGAAGAAAAGAAGCTGAATCCATCCTGCTGACGAGGTTGTTGATCCATCATACAAGTTGTTGTGCTGAAATTATGAATGGAGCAAAACATATATGGGCTGAAATGGACAAAAAGAGCAAGGTTTTGGAAGATTGTTGTCACTCGGGGAAGCAACAACGTCACTTCCCCCAGTGACTGCTGCTAATGTTGTTGATGGGACACGCTGCACAAACGTGAGGCTCAAGAATCAGATTTTGAAAGCTTTATAGAAGCTTAGAGGCTAAGGAAGAGAGCTGATTGGATGTTGCTGAAAAAGTGCAAAGATTATGGGAAAAGGAAGGTATGGGCTGCAACTTGTCAAGTAACTCAAGGAACAACTTGCCAACTTGCTCAATTTGACAACTTGCTCAACTTACCAACTTGACAACTTGATCTCATGGTGATTAAAAAAAGTAAAAAGTGGCCTCCCCCAAGCTCTATATAAGAAGAAGATTAGCAAGGGAACAAAAAAAATCTATCAATTAGAATAGGATAGTAAGGAAGAGAGTTATATATAAACATAAAGAGTGAAAGGAACAAGTAGGAGTGGCAGATTCTACCACTCGAGGAAGTGAGAAGATGACTCGTGGAAGTGACCAGGTGACAGCAGCAATTCCCTAAGTTCTTTTCTCTTTCTCTCTGTTGTTTCCTTGCTTTGTATTGATGTTTAATACTTAGAAATGCATCCTTATGTATTTGTAACCGTAGTTTTTGTTAGCTAAACTCTCTCTAGGATCTAATCCCTCTTATCTATACAAGTATGTTTTGGCAATGCTCCTATATGATTTATTTCTAATTTAAGTATTTTAATTAATCTTTTAGTTACTGATCAACTAGCTAATTTTGCATGCATAATTTATGGAATCTTAAGAGGGTGAACATAATTTTAGAACTACTTAAACTAGTCTATGACAATGGGAATGGTGGGTTGTCGAAGCCCCCAAAATAAATTACCAACTTAAACTGTAGATAGGATAAGTCGGGTCGATCCCACAGGGACGGGTTAAACTTCAAATAACCGGAAAACAAACAAGAATATAAGAGTTGGACAAACAAGGAAGAAAATTACAAACTCAATTGCCCGAGTGACAAAGTCACTCATGCGAATGGACTCTGCAGAACTGAAGACAAATAAACAACTGAAACCTTACTCACGGGAGTGAGAATTCTGACTCAGGGGACTGACTCAACAAACTGAGACATTCATTCTCTTTTCCCTATGTAATCAAATGGTAATCTTGCACTCTTTTGGTATGAATTCATGCTCATTCAGGCACTTATATATCTCTAAGTCACTTCCGATTTTTCCTAGAGGTATCTTTATGAACTCAATTAAACTATTTTCCAATGATTAATCAAGTCATGAATTCATTAATTTTTCAAGCCTTACATGAATGCTTATGCTAACCAAGTATATTCCTATCTCAATTAGAACCTTGGACTGTTACCTCCAAGTCATAAGTTGAAGCTAAATGATTCTGAACCTTGTTTACCCTTCCGCGATTCACTTAGTTCTTTGCACAATCAATCAAATGGCCATTTTAATCAAGAGGAAGATGAAAGCTTTAACTTCAAACATAAAACCATCCGAATGCATTCACAAACTTAAACTACATAAGTTCCAGAGAATGAAATCTAATTAACTACACATACAAACTACAGAAAATACAAGAAAAGAAGGAAAGCATTGAGAAGAAGCAAATCTGGACGGCTGAGCAACAGGTCACTCGCCTGAGTGACAAAGGTCACTCAGGCGAGTGAGGTCTGTTACTCCTCTTTTGCTGCTACTGGACTTCTTCTTCCTTTGGAGTTTTCTCCCCTCTCCGGTCTTTTCTTCTCTCTCTGTTGTGTTTTGTGTGTTGTATGTCCTCTGATATGTGTCTTATGCTGGGTATGTAGCTTCCTTTATAGAGCTTGTTGCCGGGTTCTTCTTCCAAGAGAGTCTCACCATGCTTGTGTATTTTTTATTAGCCCCAATGCCTTGTGTCTTGAATACGGTTTTGACTGACCTTTTCCCCTTCTTCCAGCAATGGTATTAGCAGCAGCATTGATCAATGTGGGTGGTTGATTCATCATTCAAGGGGACGAGCATGCTCTTTAGTTTCTATTGTGGGACACCTTTATTAACTCCCAATGTGTCTTGTGTCTTCGAGTTGCTTTTTGACCAGCTCAGCCCATGCTTCTCAATTTTGAAATCAGCAGCCCAATTATTGCTCCATAAGCCTCCATTTTTCATCACTTGTTCACTCAGGTCCATCCCTTCACAAAAACATAAAAATTACTAAGTAATATGCATAAATTCTAAGAAGCACCCCCCCGATTTTCAACTAATTAGAGAGTAAATTGCATTGGTTTTATATAACAACTTGACTGTTATCAGGGAATAACAACCCTTGATTTCAATTGGCAATGAGAGTTAGTTGATTGGCATAGGTGATCACTAACACTTAGGAACTCAATGGCTCGGAGTAATGAATAATTATCACAGAGATGGAAGTAATTTGGTTATACTGGGACTCTTTACTGGTAACGACGGAGAAGGCAGAGAATATATGTGCCTAATCAGACATAATTCATATACGCAAAAGGAGCAAATAAAATCATAATGCAACTATATAGAGAGGAGTTGAGGATAAACCTACCTTTTCTGTTTATTATTCTGTCTGTCCACTTGGGGAAGTGACATTCTCACTCGCCGGAGTGATAGTTCATATTTTGTTTTTATCTAATTCTCTCCACTATCTTTTCCTTAAATAATTTTGGGTTAATTATAGTTTCTCCTTCCTGTGGGATCGACCCGAATTATTGCTAATACATTATTAAGTTGGTTAAATTATTTTAGCGGATTCGACACCCATCAATACTATACCGCATGATTGCAGCTACCTCACGCTCATGGTATAGGAGACCAGCAGAACAACATGAGTTCAGATGCATTAAAAAAGTTTTTGTCAATTAAAACACCTACCAAAATCCAGTGGCTTTTATGGCGAGTTGTGAATCATGCTTTGCCGTCAGCTACGGCTCTCCATAGAAGAGGCATCATACCACATACGACATGTCCTAAATGTCACCGATATGAGAAAATACTCAGCACATATTCCTTGACTCGAACGTTCCAGACGTGTTTGGAGGGCTCTCCTTTGGGCTTTGATTTTAGTGCAGGTCCCTAACTCACACTCAGCGAATGGCTACAAGCTTGGATCAAGGAAGCGCCAGACAGAGACTTGATTCAGCAATCCTTCTTTGTTTTTTGGCATATTTGGTTGGCAAGAAACAAGGTAGTCTTGCAATGTCAAATACAGGAACCGTTCTTCATTCAGAAAGAAGCCATGTTGGAGTGGAGAATCTATAAAAGCTCCAATCAAAAACCTTAGCTCAACACTCAGAGGTCTGAGATGATGATAGGGGAAGCATGTCCTATACTCAAATGCTGGGTCAATCCTACATCAGAACGGATGCGGCATACTCAATTATACAACGCAACTAGGCGCAACTTGGGAGGTGGTTCCCAATCAAGGACGATTTATAGCTTTGGGGACAAAGTTTACTTTGCGTCGTCGGCTGAGGATGCTGAAGGAAGAGCTTGTCTGTTAGATTTACAAGTAGCTAGAACATTGGATCTGATTTCCAGCTGCAAACTGACAGCCAAAACATAGTTAACTATGTCGCACAAAAGGTGTCTCCTCCTCTAGCGCTGAGTATATTGATAGAAGAAATTAGGTATTAGTAAGTATTGGCAACTTATGCAATGTATTAAAGGCGAGTCGAAATGTAGTCGAAAGCCTACATAGGCTTGCTAAAGCGTGTCTTCAACAATTGTACCCTTCTGTTATGTCTTAATTTATAGAAGCTCTTGTTTTCAAAAAAAAAAAAACATTCGTATACTTTTTAAGTTTTTGGCTTGACAAATCGTTTCGAAGTGCAACTAAAGTTACTTTCATGGTATATATTGAATTATTGATTAGGAATGTTGTAAGTTATTCTTTTGGGATAAATTGTAATCATTTCTTTTGGTTATGGAATTGTAACGACTTGGATTAGTATGAACAAATAACTTTGATGAAATTTTTAAAATCAGAGTTATATTTTAATTTTTCTCTATTTATGGTTAGATAAATAACCATATTCAAGGGATTATATTTTTGGAAGGAGCAAACCGCTTACATCAATTAGAAAAACTATATTAAATTTTTCAGGAGGAAAGTTGGACTAACCAAGTTTTTCTACGTAGAACTACCCGCCTCTAAGGATAAGTAGAATTTCTATAATATCCCTTCATTACCTCCTAAAAAAGATGATCCACTTTTAAAATTATTTATCAGGGAATTAAAAAAAGTTAAACCCATATTTTTAAAAGTCAATACCCAGCTACACTGGTCGAAGGTGTTGCAGTTGGTACAGGGATATCTTTCAACACACCCTTCAGGAAATCCCACATTTTGGCAGCTTTTGCAATAACTGGTTGTGCATTTGCATAATGCACTATTTCTTTCATCACTTCTACCGCCTTGCTGTCACGGAGTTTCAAGGCCACAGCACTTTGTTGCGCTGTCTTTGAATAAATTTCATCTGCTTTTATCCTTTGTTGGCACGTGGTTGCATGTTCTTGCTCGAGTGCCACATGTTTTTCAGCCATGGATTGGGTTTTTCTTGCAGCCTCTACCGCCTGTTCCACCAATATTTTGGCCATTAGTTCTGCCTCTTGATGTGCCATGGCTGCATGATTATAGTCATGCACATGTTTTATACAGATTTTGCAGCTAATCTTCCTTTGTTCAAAATTGGCCAAGAATAGACCAACAATGCCTTTCACTGTGTCGGGCAGATCACTTCCCTTGATGGTGGTTAAGGCCTTCTTTAATTCCTGACGGTACCTAGCCTGAAACTTTTTCAGCTTCAATTTTGTACAGTCATTGCAATATCCTTTGTGCCTCCCAAACAGATTGTTCTGGCGCTAAAGTTAGCGTTGTTGTCACATCCACTGTCTTCCTTTGCTATGTCAATTAACGTTGCAGTTCTGCTATTGTTGGGATGGGAGTGGTACTTGGTGTTCTTTGAGTTATTACCTTCTTGGCTGCCTTTTGACTTGATGGTTGTGGTGACACACGTTGCCAAGGACTGCTGTTTGTTTCTTTTTCTGGTTGCTCATGTGTTACCCTTGTGTCACTTGCTTCTGAATCTTCTTCTAACAGATTGACTGTCATTGTCTGCTTCCGTGCTAGGCATAATGCACAATTCATACCCAAGTATACATCCTTTATTTCATTATAATCACCATAATAACAATAAGGGTTACCTTGGAACTACTGGTTGAGGGTATTTTCATTTTTGTCAACCTGTTAAACTTGCGTGATACGAATCTTGAGGCAACATGATAGAATTACCTCAAATGCGGAAGCTTTTCTTTCCCAAAACCTGATAACTTGCGAATCCAAGGGCAAATACCCCAAAGCACATGAGAAAGAAAGGAGAAAAGAAGATGCAAACCACAAAATTTGCACCAAAAAAGATAGAAAAGCAAGAAGATGAAAGAATGTGTTCATGGCTAGCAACCCGATTAGAATACCCCTCTAACAACCCCACCCCTTCGATTTATGAGCAGAACAGCTAGCTAAAAGGCTCCCAGTGAATGGCTAACAAAGCTCCACACGTAAATAAATATTTAATAATGTGCACGCTTGCAACAAAGCTCAAAACAATTCGTGCAATGCGCTATTTTTCACAAAGAATAGAACAACAAAGAGTTTACTCTCTTTTCTTATTGAAAAATCATTAATAATCAAATCACACATAATTTTGGTCGACCATCCCCCTTTATATAGGCATAGATTGGCTTGGACAAAAAGAAATCCGAATACAAGTTTAAATCGGATTTGTCTTCCTAAAGTTTCCTAATATAACTTAAATAATATTTAAATTAATAATTGCACTTGTCAAAATTATTTAAAACCAACAAGAATTTTCTAGAAGTGTAATAAGGTCGGCCATAATTGTAGAATTACGGAAAAGTCTTTTTCCTAATCGAATCAGGAAATTCAGGAAATGTTGGTCGTGTATGCGTCGTCGACTTTCCTGTCGACCGACAGATTGCTCGACAGTCTGCTGTCTACTTTTGTGTCGACTTCTTCTCCTCGAGCAAGAGCTCGACGTGTACTAAAAGCTTTAATTCTACTCCAAGATAAACATGATACCCATGGAACTGAATCCACATTGAGAGCTTGAACATCCATGAACAAGTTGTTGAGCGATTCATTCATTTTCTTCCTTTGAGACCTCGTCATAGGACCTCCAATATTGGCTAATGGATCTTGAATCACCTTTTGAGCTCGAACTTGATTACTCGGTTGAACGTCAACTTGTCCTTGAGCTTGATCACCTAGGATGTCCACATCATTGCGCCTCTTGACATTCTTTTCGCCTTCAATTGGTTGTTGCCTTTTCTATTTCTTCCTTGTCGCTATTGCTATTGTTGATTTCAGCGGCCCCTCTTTCTAACACATCTACTGTCAAAAACTGTAACAACCAATAAGTATGTACTGTCACAAAAATATTGGTTTTAGATTTTTACCTGGTGGTGCTTGCTCATCTTGCACTGTAACTTTTGGGATTTCTGCATCCAGTGGAGCCACTTCTTTCAATACTCCAGGCAGCAAGGTATTGATGATTTGCTCCATGCATTTGGTGATTCCCCCAGCTACATCTGTGACATGACTGAAAGGCACAAATTTCCAAGACCCGCATCGATTGTTCATCATCTCCTTCTGAGCATAATAGTCCAACATCGGCAACTTTCTTCGGCCCAGCTTCCATGTGGTCCACCCAGCAACATCAAAGAATAGGATCCCTTGGACAAACCGAAGTTGCCTAGCCACCATCACCGAGGTATAGTATTAAGCGTGCATATTGCCTTCACCACTTTGTGCTTTTAGACTCTTAAAACCATAGTAAAGATCCAACAAGTGCCTCCACACACTAGTCAAACCCACAACACTCTCATTATTCCAATTTTCCAATTGTGCCTCCACTAGGGTGTGTTCCCCAAAACTAGAGTGCCAGTGACCATATGACAGTTCCTTTAACACTGCTAGGATAGTTGGTTCAGACTCCCAAAATACAGTGGCTACAAACTTGCTATCATACCTTGGTACTCCTATGTGCATCAATCCTAGACATAAAGGTTCTTTCCGTACACTTGCATTGATGCTCGGGACCCTTAGTTCCGGGAAATATAGATATAGCCACAAGCACAACAACGACACGGGACCAAATACAGTTTCACTAAGAAGGTGCCTAATTTAGTGCATACTATGGAACATCAAGGCCAACACAATTTCAACACAAATTTATAGACTTTCCAGTAGCCAACACAGCAGCCATATGATACATATCCTGAGTCATTTGGAAAGACTTACCACAGATGATGTACCAATTCAGCCACAAGGCTAGGAATCTGATGTGTTGCACTAGGTCAGTCGGATCTTTGTTGCAATTGTCCTGTATGTACCCTCCGTGCCCTCTTTGCTGATTCTCTCCGATAGCAGCTGCCATACGTCCTTCCAAATCAACATCTTCTGTTACCTCCGCTATCATCGGCAACCCAGTTATTACGGCCACATCCAATAGCATCAGAGTTATCATTCCCCATGGCAAACAGAAGGTATTGCTAGAACCCCTCCAGAATCGAGATGTTACGCCCAGAAGCACCTTGTTATCATACAATCCCATCTTACAGAATTTCATCAGATTGTAAATCCTGACCTTCTTCCATGTCTCCGCATGTTGCTTCTCCATTTCATTTTCCCATGAGACAAAATCATTATGGATCAGACCATTCACCGGCCATGGCCATGATTGAATCTGACCAAAGGAGGGACAACAGAATTTATGAGTGGGAGCATCCGTCGTCAACACCAGCACATACTGACTTAGGGTTGCATTCTCCACTAGCAAACTCAGCCCCAGAGAGTATTACCGTGGCTCCCCACGTGAGACAAACAAGTCGTCGAAATCCGGCGACGATTCCAACAGCTCTTCTGGTTTCACTTTGCCATCTTTCGCCAGCTCCGTGTCGAATTTCACAGCATAGTCTCCGCCCATGGTTTCTTGCTTCTTCACCACCAATTTTGGCATACTGGGTAATGCTATTGCGGAATTGGATCTTGGAGTGAATTGATGGAGAAATAAGAGTTTGAATTTGGGAATAATGGGATTTGACAGCTTTATCGTATTTTCCCCTATATGGATTTATCTCCTCGATTTCGGGGATCTGATTTTTGATTCCCCACGTTGATTGAAATGGCTTGATTGATCTCTTACCCGTTAAAGATCTTCACCCAAGTCGCTGCTCATTTTTCACGCCTTTGACCGGGGGCTATACACCATTTCACTTTTTTCTGTTATGGGCTGGAATTAATAGGCGAACCCGTTTTTGGTCTGATGGATACTCAAATGCACACCACATGCATCCTTCGAGTGAGTTGTGCCTTGAGGGGGCTTTATGTTGACACCAATTTTACAAATTGTGTCAGCCCAACAAATGTTATGGTTTGGCCCAAACACGACGCGACATATGAATCCAAGGTGGAAAAGGAAGTCCAATCGGAACATAAGTGTAATAAGATAAGAATTTGGAAAGAGAGTCTGATTGAGGTACTAAATCGGAAATCTTCACAACCGAAACGGCGAAGGAATCGGATTGGTACACCAACTTGGAGGTTCTCGTGACGTCTATATAAAGGGAACTAGGGTTCGACATCAACACACAATTCATCATCAACACATACAACACACAAGCTGCAAAAGCTCTTTACAATTTCTTGTGATTTTTTCTTATTATTTTCAGCACCCTTTTGTTCTTTACACAAGTACTTTAAAGCTACTTTAATTCCGATTTACTTCATTGTATTTCATTTATTTAATCAAGTTTTTGTGATTAGCCTTTATTCATTATTTTCGCCTTTTATTTTAAGCTTTTCTTTGTGCTTTGCCAAACATTCACACTTCGCGGATTACACATATTCGCTTGAAATTATTTAAGCACATACCGGTTTCTCTACTGACTATTTTCACTCAAACACTAGTGTAGCCATAGTTCTGCACTATTCTTAAAGTAGAATTCCAATAGATACTAACCTATGAGATATAAAACTACTTGAACACTCAAATTTTTTGTTAAGATGTGTAGAAAAAGTATGGCCACCCTGAATCTTTATTACTAATCAACCAAAATATACATGAACACCAACAAAATTAGGTATGAACAATGGCCTCTTAATGTATGATCCCAACTTCACGTGATTCAAAAGAAAAGTGAAAAATACTCCCTACATCTTAAAATTATTGCCAAATTTAAATTTTCATTGTTTGTACAAATTGAACCAAAAGTGAAAATCTTAACTAAAAATAATTTTAGGTCAGGAGAAGTATAAAGAAAACCTTTTACATCCTTGACCGTTGTTTAGAATTTGCTTTTGAACAACCCAGATTATGTTGATGACCTTGAAGGCAACAAGCCTATAACTTCGACTACTGATCAGAATAGCCTCAACCACAATTCTCTTCGATGGGACTAATTCTTTTAATCTGGGAAAGAATCAACAGTAAATGAAAAAAAATCAATTTGCTTTTGAATTGATATTGATTACGGCATCAATAACGTAGCTCCTAACCACAAATCTTCAACATCAATGGCTCTTTTAATCAGGTGATAATTGGTGGCAGAAGAAGAATGGGATCGAAATTTAATTTTGGAATGATATTTATCATGAATAAAAAAATTTTAAATAAAAGAATAATAGATTGGAACTGATTCTATATTTTCACCTAAATTTTCTAAACTAGCAAAAATAGAGCGAGTGTATTTACCTTGGTTCACCTTGAAATGTGGACCATGGTCCTTTATATAATAATTGGTCTCATTGATTCCATATTTAAACTAGTATGCACATCCGATGTCTCACTATACACATACAAAGCCTAAAAACTACTTAGTATTCTCGGTTCGTGACTATTATACAACATTCAACCAACAGATAGTAACAGAATACAAAACATCAATCAAGTTGTTAATTTGAATGAGATCTACTTTCATAAAATTAAAACAAGAATCAACAAATACTTAAATCATAGGCCAGAATAATAATGTAAGATCAAAATCTCATAATGAAATAACTAAGTAAATCTCATGAATCAGATTCACTGGACATGCTGGACATCCTGACTTGATTATTCATAAACTAATGAAACTAAAATTTTAATAGAATTGAATAAACCCGAAAGCAGCAACCAACTAACCCCTATTCTTGGAACTATGGTGCCTACAAAACCATGGCCCAAAAAAAAATAAACCCACGGCCGCTTTTAAGGAGAACTAGATGCTTATCTCAGGCAAATACCTGGGGCGCCCCGCTCAACAAATTGATATGTAACTGAAAATTAATAGAAAACAACCCATATCTTTTTTCATGTTGATTTGATAAATATTGGAATAAAGAATTATTTTCTACAGAACTACAGAGAATTAAAGTACAGATTAAAGCTCAATCAAAGAACTTTGCGGTGGCGCTCTAGAAAGAGAGATTGTGATAAGAAAGAGGAAGAAAATAAACCCTAATTTGATATCTTCATAGGAAGCAGCCCATGACAGTGCTGAAATGGAGGGCGATTTAATGCCTGATTCAAAGAGTTGCAGCAGTAGAGGGAAAAAATGGAGTAGCAGCGGCGAAGGAGAAAAAGAAAAAAGTAAAGTGGTCGTAGCCTGTACGGTTTCAATTCAATGAAAATATTGTAGGGAATTTGAACTTTGATTTTCCTAATTTAATGGAAAGAATTAATTAATGTGATGTGATCCGGAAGAATTTTTGTATTGTGGAAGCTAGGGAAGTAAAGGATATGGCCAAAATGGTCAAACCGACCGAACCAGACCCTTATTTGCGGTTTGGCCAGTTTATATAGTAGTACATTCGGCCGAACGGATTCATTTTTTTGAAACTGTAAAATTCAGTTCGACTACGGTTTATATCTTCAAACTGGCTATTGAGACCGAACCGCACTGTATTTATAAAATTTATAATTTGAGGTAATGATTTCATCCAAGCACATGTCACGGTGGATGGGTTAAAGCTTTTAACTTGGACGTCCCAAGTTCGAAACTCCCTTCTGCACCCTTCTACTGGAGATTTTTTAGAGTTTTCTAAACTTGGGCTTTGATATATAGATATACTTCAAAAAATAATTGGGTTTAACGAATGGGATTGATCCATATTAGATATACTTAAAAAAAGATTGGGTTTAATGAATATGAGTACACCATGCCACATGTCAAAACTCATTCTGCATTCTCAAGAGTTTAGGCGGGAAAATATTTAGCTAGAAGCTACCACATCACCTTCTTATATGTTGCTTTAATAGGGTAAAAAGGATTAGGTCAGTTGAAGAAGATCAAATTTGGCCATAAATTACAACATTAGCCCTTCTATATTTTAGCTTCTTCAGAATTGGCCCACAAGTTCTTCAATGATAAAATTTAAGCCATTCAATTTTTTTTTTAAGGAAAAACCAAGGCGGTACCTGGCGGGAGGACCCCAATTTTTAAAATTTAATTTAAACAAAGAAAAGTTCACTTGCAATACGTAAGACTTACTCAATTAAAAGAGACCGTCTTAGAAAAGTTTATCTAGAAACTCCATGACAGCACTATACAATCATGAACTATGAACTGTCTTGCACAGAGTCATTTAATAATCTCTGGCAGTTCTGTTGTAGAAAATTAAATTGAGTTATGCTAAGAGTTTGTTTTACATAGATCATACAAGAATCTCATAACAGCTCTTTTGGTTTACTTAACAATCAAACCTAACTATTACAAATAGAATTCACCTTATTTTCAAAAATGGAACTGGTCTTTGATCAAGAGAAATGAGTCCTCTAACCTTGCGAGGGAGCAAGGCATGCTAAAAATTCTATTGAGACTCCTTCAGATCATAGCTTGGCCAAGGCATCGGCCATGGTGTTTAGTTCACGATACACATGTGTAACTTGATAATTCTTCCATTTGATGACATCAACTATTTCCCTTAAAACTTCGGAATATTTCCAAGGAAAATCTTTCCCTTTATGAAGAAGGTCAATAGTAAACCTTGTTGTCTATTTGGAGAAGAACTTCTCTTAAAGCTTGCCTCTCAAAGTAAAAAGTCCTTCCAAAATTTCCTGATATTTCTGCATAGAGGCTATCGTGATTTACTAGGTATTCACATGCTGCTTGAATCAAATTTCCTTGATCACCTCGGACTACAAGCCATTTAGTTTCTTATCAACTTCTGGTCCTAACAACTTCTATGTGTTGCAGTTGGGTCCTTCAACAAAGTAAACTTCTTCTTTTGCTAAAGTTGGATGATTATGCAATCAATCTTTTTGCATTAATTAGCTCATAAAAAATTGTGAACTCCGATCTTCAGTTCCTAACACAAAACATTGACAAAATCAATAAATTAAACCTATCCGAGCATAAACTGATAAAATAATGACTAAAATAGAAAGCATACGCATTTGTTTTGCTCTCTCTTAATTCTTATTCCCCAGATTATATTTACTTGTCCCTTATCTTTCATCTGAAACTTGCTAGCCAACAACATTTTGGTATGCTTGACTTTCTTCTGCTTTCAATAACTTCTATGTGTTGCAATTGTCAACAAAGTAAACTTCTTCCTTTGCTCAAGTTGGATGAATATACAATCGATCTTTTTGAATTAATTAGCTCAGAAAAAGTTAGAAACTCTGATCTTCAGTTCCTAACACAAAACATTGACAAACTCAATAAATTAAATCTATCCGAGGCTATAAACTAATAAAATAATGACTAAAATAGAAATTATGGATTCTATCAAGCATTCATTTTGCTCTCTTTTAATTCTTATTCCCAAGGTTATATCTACTTGTCCCATATCTTTCATCTCAAACTTGCTAGCCAACAACATTTTGGTATGCTCGACTTTCTTTAAATCAGTACCAAAGATTAACATGTTATTAACATAAAGACGTAGAACAACACCTTCTCCATTACTTACTTGCTATATACACATTTATCAGATTCATTGATT